TCACAACCAGATGGGATAGCCCAAGGAGTCACCAGCAGGTATGAGACTCAAAAGATGGGGTAGAGTGTCCAGAATAGAAGTGGGCACAACAGATAGAGAGGTGACATGAAAATAAGGGCCAATACTCTCTCTAACATTAAAGTCGGTACATGGAATGGTTAGATAAGTTCGATCAAGATAGACCCACTCTTTCAAATATAAGTCTAAAGGAGCAACTCCTAAAACAGATTCCAATAAAACAAGAGAATGTTCATCTCCCAAATTAAGCTCAGAATAATTCAGATTCATATTACTATCTTCCAAATTTAATTTCAATATGCTCAAGGTCAGATCAGTTTCTTTTGGGGTCAAATTAATATCATCCGGACAGACCTTATCCAACAGGATATCCTTGATGAGACTAGGATTAGGATGGGCTAAGGTATCAATGCTCAAAGGTTCTAAATCTCATACATCAGGGTCTAATTCAATCAATTCAGTTTCATCATCAAAGAAATACTCGTCATCAATGATATCGTTAGCATCCACAAAATGGATGCACTCAATTTTAGGTTCAAGGGACATTTTCTGATTGGGATGGCTAGGAGTCGGCCCAAATGGGAAGTCATATGTGACCGATCGAACAGAAGATCCAATAGAGGGTCGACCATCAAGGCTAGGCGGAGACCTACAGGGTGGGGCAACAACCATGATGTCACTAAAGTATGGGTGGTCTTGACCACAGTGATGTCCACGGTTTGTCCCAACAAAAGAGGCAGGATGGTTTTCTAGATGAAAATCACTAGGTGTTGGGGTAAGTGAGTGTAAGGTGGGAGAGGGAGATATTTTAACTCAAGTTCTCGTCTCATGCTTTTCCAATCAGAAATAGGGTATTCACCACGAAACTCTCTATGATCTTCTACCCTCATCCAAAATTGGCAAGCACGACCGTTTAGGCGAGCCTTAGCAATGTTCACCCGGTGGGACTCAGGAAAATCATGTGTTTCAAAATAGTCTTCTAACTGTCTAACCCATTCCTTAAAGAAGTAAAGATCCGAGGAACCATCAAAGGTGGGCAGACGGTTATGTGACTCTAAGTGAGATTGTTGCAGCTTGGATTCATGACTAGGTTGATAAATAGAATGGGTAACCTTCCGACTGACATGATTGACCGACTGGTGCACATACCTAAAGCGGGGAATGTCAACATGTTTCTCCTTCATCGTTTTAGTTATAGAGCCCACTATATTAACTAGGTTATCTAGCTTCTTTTGAAGCCCAATGGGGTCCATTGGACAGAGCCTGGCAACACTTGGGGATAAATCTAGATAGGGAACAGCACCTAAAGCGAAGCTAGACTCTCCAAAATATTACTAGAAGGTGCAGAAAATGAGTGGACAGCAAACTCAAAGTGGGATATCATGCTAAACTTCAGCTTACACAGGAAGTAGTTGAGTGGGTAAAGGATATAGGGATCCTAAGGTGCAAGGACAACACAAAGATTTGCAATTGACACCTTTAAAACTTCCTAAAGTGTGCAGATTTTTACTGGACAGCAAAGTAATCAATGATTTAAAATGTTATATACGGTGATATGCATGCAATGACGACTAAGAATGATTATGTAGCTCCCTAGGATGATTTCCTAGCATGTGTAGCCTATGCTAGCCATGCTCTGATACCAGATGATGCAGGACATATATGAAAATACGATTTAAATAAGGATGTTGCACGCTTGATGATTAAGAGCAAGTTAACTAAAGCTTTAGGGTGACTTAGACAAAGAAATAAAATACAAAGAGCGGTAACAAAAGCTTAGGCCAAGTCACTTGCAAAAAGTAAAAGCCACAAGATAATCAATTACTCTTGACGTTGTATACTAGGTGAGTTTCAACAAGAAATCCCTAATCTAACAATAAGAGTAGTGCTATGAAGGATCTCTCACACAACTCCTAATAAATAACACGACTTTTCATGAATCAATTAGAGCTACGATTGAGAACATTTAAAAGATAAAGAATAGGAAGAAAGATCACCCAAATAAATATGCTGAACAAAGCTCCGGTGTGATGTTTATGTGCTTGAGAGGAAGTAGACAACAACCTTTGATTCTTCTTGATGTCTTTGGATAGCAATCTGATTTTAAAACCAGCGGAACAGCAATAGGAGATGGATACAACTGCTGGACAGCAACTTTGACACTGGGAAATTCTGGACAGCAATCTCTAACACTTGTATAAACCTTGGGCAGCTATTATAGGCTACTGGAGACTTCTTGAACGGCAATTTCAGACCTCCCAGGGTGCAAGACAGCAGTTGGTAACGGCATGGACAGCAAGATGAAAATCTGGAATTTCTTAGGCTGTGTGAAGATTGTGCCCAAAAATTTGGATAGCACTCAAAAATCCAATAGAGGAACAAAACCAAGAGGTGGAAGGCTTGGGAAAGACATCCAGGACAGCCAGGGCTGAGGAGAGTTACGGGATGATTGAGGACTTAATTTCAGGGAAATTAATATGATAGCAGGAAAAAGGGGAAGGCCAGCCATGCATGAGAAATTTAATGGGGATTTGAATTCTTTCCAATCATGGGTGTGATTAATTTGGAAAGATATTTAAAGGGAAACTTCTAAATAAATTCAGATTTGGGATAATAGGAAAGTTCCCGAATTGAATCCTTCTTAATTTAGGAAAGGATTCAAATTCAAATAAATTTGAATTTGGAGTTTGAAAACTTTCCAAATTTAAGAGGATCTAAACTAGGTAAGCTTCCAATTCTTTCCTTAGAGGAGTTTTGGGAGAGAAAAGGAAAGTAGATGGGAAAGGGGCCAGCGGCATGAGGGGGCAAGGGAGAGTTTAAGAAAACATTTAATGCCTTCTTGATTTAAGGAATTAAATTTGGGAAGAAATATCTCATCCCAATTTAATTTAAAAATTCAAATAGGAAGGGATTTGAAAACTTTCCTAAAATAGGATTTGTATTTAGGTAATAATTTCAAATTCAAATAGATTTGAATTTGTAATTATATGAGTTACCTTAAATATGTCGGGCTAATTTAGGAAAGTTGTAATGGCAATTGATGAGGGAGGGGAAAGCAAAGCGGTGGCTGGCGGTTTAGAATAGGGCTTGTGGGTTGAATGGTTTGGTGGTGGGGGTTGGTCGGAGACAAGATGGATTGTGGTTAGGGAATCCGACGGCTAGGAGGTTGGGGATTAAATGGGGATGTTGGTGGCTTGATGGGGGAAGGAGGGGAGGGGAAAGGAAAAAAAAGAACGAAAGAAAGGTAAGGAAGAAGAACCACGAACCCGGTCATCTCTAAGGTTGGTGGGTGATCCCATTTCCCTCCCTAGGGATTTCTCCAAAGCTCTCTCTCCTAGAACTCTCACAACTCTCCAAAGAACACATGTGCAGAAATTTTCTTCTCATTCATTCATTAACCTCTCCAAAGGAAGAGGGTGGCTTTAAATAGCCAAATACATGAAAGGGAAATAACAAAGACACAATTGCCCCTAGGGCATACATAAGACAAAGCCCTCAAGTGAGGGTAGAAAGGGAAAATGAACAATAATAAATCAAATACATAAAATAGATTAAAATAAATAGACACGATCGTAGCCGTAGATTTCTAATGTCCTCATCATCTAAATTGATCCCCTTTTTCCAACATCTTCCCTTCTCCTATTTGTTGCTCATAACTGTGCTTAGAGAAGTTCAGCTCATTTGCAATCATTATGGCTCTCTCTATGAGGACTGAGAATTCATTGATATGAAAAGGTGCCAATGCTAATCTCAATTGATCCCTGAGGCCTCTCAAAAATTTGTTGCATTTTTCCTCTTGAGTGCTGACATAATGAGGTGCATAGTGGGATAGGAAAGTGAACTTTGTTTCATATCGCATAACTATTTTTGAACCCTTGAGTCAAATTGAAGAATTTGTATTTCAGAACTAGTCTGGTTGAAAGAGGAATAAACTAGTCTCTAAATACTCTCACAAAATCATCTCATTGTATGCTGGTGATAGACATCAATCCAAATTTCTCTCTATGTTGCACTGGCCATCATCTTTCATCCTCTCCTTCTAGAACAAATGTGGCCAATACTACCCTCCTATTCTCAGCTCAAATCATACCATCTAGCATCTTCCCTATCTTCAGCAACCAATCTTTAACTATTATTGGATCACTTGAACCTTTGAAGCTAGAGGTTTAAAAGTCTAAAATAATTTCAAATGTCGATTCACTTCACTGATAAATTCAGATCTAGGTCCACTACTAGTAGAAGACTTCACCATAGATGTCATTTTATCCATCACTTATGAGATCAGATGCAAAATATCATGAAGTTCCTTAGACTTCTTGCCCTCATTTTTTTTGTTTCTATATCTGGCCTGGATGACTGGCCAGTCATTTGGGGCAAATCATATGCTTACTTTTTGACAAAATTTGGGTATTATAGAAAATGACACACTTTTAAAAGTTAGGACAACCACTGCAGAGAAGAAAAATGTTATATTTACCCTGAATAGTGAATAAGTCCTGAGATTCAGCAAACCCATCCTACTTTTAACCCCTGCTATCAAAATAAATGGGCTTGCACATGAGAGATGTGTTAGAGTGTAATAGTTTTTGAGCTGCAAACCATTGTAAAATATTGCACATGAGAAGTGTTTTAGAACGTAATATTATATTTGCACAAAGGTTTTGATTCTCTTTCATTACTAGCTTCAGTATAATTCATGAGTTAAAAAAGCTTTTAAATTTTAAAATCTAATATTAAGCGGGAAATTAAACTATTGTTAATATGTGTTTCGAAAAGATTAATTTTATTTCCTTTACTTTTTATATTGATCCGTTGCTCATTAGCTCACACTGGCAACTATTGTTATATACAGTGATAATGCAGAGTCAATAACATTTATATAACATAAAAACGTAGAATGGATAAAGACTGAAAATGTGGAGATTGATAAAGAAGTTCAAAAGATAATAAAGGAAAAACAATGGGGAAAAAAACCACACTACCACTTTGTTAAGCTCGCTTGCAGTCGCCAAAATGGTGTGGCAGAGTTCAGCGACATCACTTCTAATAGCCCAATCAATGACAAACGGTTCTCCAGCCTTCATTAAAAAAAATGAAAAACTACTACAAGATTTTACTCTATGAAGTAAGCATCTAGAAAGCACGTTACCTGGCATAAAATTCCAATAACTGAAAGGGCAATAGCACGAATGTTATCAAACACATCTATTGTGCAGTCGAACTGTATCAAGGGGATCAAGTAATCTGGAATGCAGGCTGCAACAGATAGAGCATCTAAATAAAACCATATAGGATGTAGCAAAATGAAAATATTTTGCTAGAAACCCCATCTTTAGTGATAATTGAAGATTTACATAGGGTGTAAGTATATCATCCATTTCCAATACCCTATATTGACAGAATCTTTATTAATGGGTAACCTTTTATAATTACTAAAATGTTTTAATTGAGATGAAAACTTTGCAAGAAAGACGCTTGCAAATAGAAGAGATAAGAATTAAAATATGAGAAACTCCATCTTTAGCGATAAAAATTCTAGCCAAAAAGTAAATTTATGTAAAGGGTTAATATTTTAGGGTGAATTTGTTGACCAGTGGAATAAATAGCATAAAATGACATTGATGTAAATCATTCATTAGATTCTCATATTTCTTTCACTCAGTTTTCAGAACCAATCAACTAATGGATGCTACTGTAGTACTGAATATCTACACTTCTTTATCATATTTCAGAGAATAATGGAATCAGATTGACATCTAATTGCAACGGAAAAATATAAAATATAAGAGAATATCTACACATAACCAGCGTGAATTCAAGAAAAGTAAAACCTGATGATTTATCGGACAAACTAATCTAGACAAATTAAACATAAGAAAATATTTCAAAGAAAAAATTAGCATTCCATCAACTCAGTCATATTATTTATTTGCTATATATTTTCGGGCATATTTTATCTGATATATCATTTCAAAATAAAATTTGAAAACTTAAATTTAAAGCTAAAAAATCAAATGCCAAACAATTCTAAGAACTAGGAAGTCTTACCATCAACGAACTTCTGTCTTGTTCCATTATTAGATGCAATACACTGCCAGAAAAATCTACTCAACATATTAATAACAAATAAGTACTAACAAAATATAAAATAAGACTCAAGAAAAGCTAACCTGGAAAAGAGTAAGAACATTAGCAAGACGCTTGATGGATCTCACATTTAGTGCTTGTTCCGACATCATTCTGTAAAAACTCACTACCTCCTGCGTTGGACCCCATAAACTTTCTATCACATTTCAGTACAGTAAGCACCGTACCAAGAAACTCAAGATCACAAAAAGTTTCATGACCTGTAGCAATGTAGCCATCGTACCACAGGAAAAATACAACAAAAAACCAGCACGGTTGTAATTACATGGATCTTCCTCCCTTTTCTGTAGCGAAAACAGTAATAAAATTAAAACCCAAAAAACAAAATAAATATAATAAGTCCTGAATAAATTCAGATTCTTTCCAATTATCATGAGCAATTACCAAGATAATTGGAGATAATCCAAATCCAGACTGAGTTTAATTGCTATTTCCTATACAGCTGAGGTCAGAGAAGAGAACAATGAACAGAACAATTTCATAATTATTAAACTGTAGACACCCAACTGATTAATTTATTTGTAGCTAAAACGAGGTTAACAATCTATAAATCTTACTTTATTTTTTTCAAACAACAAAAAAGTCTGAATATATGCATGTCAAGTATCCAAGAAAAAAATCAGATAAAAGAAAAAGAAACCCGTATTTCTTTTAAAAAGGCAAATATATTCATGTCAAGTATCCAAGAAAGAAAAAACCACTGCAACAAAACTAGAATAGCTATAAAAGGAACGGAACTAGAAGAACAGAAGAAATAAATGGAATAAGACAATAATATATAATTAAAAATAAAGAAATATTAGCGAAAAAATTCAACCAGCTGAATAAAGAAAAGTCTTAAGAACTCAGATTTTGTTAAAACCTAAGCAAAAGTTCAGAAAATAAATGCCCGTGGAAGAATCAAAACATGAGAAAAGACTGAGGACAAATGGGCGAAGAAAATGTCTAAAATATAATGCTCAAATGAATTAACCAATAATTTATTCATGAAACTCAAGAAATGGAAATAGACCTCGATGAGGAAGTTGCTAAGGTATCTAATGGCATTTTCAATGACCTGTAGCAATGTTGTGGAATAATAATTCAAAAAAGTTTAATGACCTGTAGCAAAGTAGCCATCGTACCACAGGAAAAATACAACAAAAATCCAGCACGGTTGTACATACATGGATCTTCCTCCCTTTTCTGTAGCGAAAACCATCATAAAATTAAAACCCAAAAAACAAAATATTGAATAAGGCCTGAATAAATTCAGATTCTTTCCAATTATCATGCGCAATTACCAAAATAATTGGAGATAATCCAAATCCAGGCTGAGTGGAATTGCTATTTCCTCTACAGCTGAGGTCAGATAAAAGAACAATGAACAGAACAGTTCCATAATTATTAAACTGTAGACTCCCAAGTCCCAACTGATTAATTTATTTGTAGCTAACACAAGGTTAACAATCTATAAATCTATCTTTATTTTTTTCAAACAACAAAAAAGTCTGAATATATGCATGTCAACTATCCAAGAAAAAATTAAAACAAAAAAAAAAAGTATCCAAGAAAAAAATCAGAAAAAAGAAAAAGAAACCAATATTTCTTTTAAAAAGGCAAATATATTCATGTCAAGTATCCAAGAAAGAAACAACCACTGCAACAAAACTAGAATAGCTAGAAAAGGAACGGAACTAGGAGAACAGAGAAATTAATGGAATAAGAAATGGAAATACACCTCGATGAGGAAGTTGCTAAGGTATCTAATGGCATTTTCACGGAGGTTTTCGTCAAGAAACTCGAGAATGGCTTCGGGCATCACCATCGGCCTCCTCATCCATTTCACCTTATGCTTCTTCCCTCCTTTTTTCTTCTCCTTTGCCTCCGCAAAAGCTAGAAAGATGAACGGATTAAAGCAACCAAATACGTCATTAAAGTATGTTTAAGAAGAGGAAAAGGAATAAAGAAGAAGGAATAGAAGCGGTAGAAGAGGAAACAGCTTACCTTGATCGATTTTGGAGTCTTTCAGGAGGTTGAGGCTCCTTTCCTCCAATGGCTCCTCTTCTTGTGGAAATGATTCTTCAAATCCGCATCCAAAATCCGCCATTAACTCAGGCCGTGACTGCCATCTTTCTCTTCGGAATCGCTAGAAGGAACAGAGAGAGAGAGAGTGTGTGTGAGAGAGAAAGAGAGACTCTGGTCTGGTAGGGAAGAAGATGCGAAAATCTTCCGAAATAATCGGGATGTGAACGGGACAAAAAGGAATACTCATTTTATAGTTTATCGAACCATTGTGAATATAAAATTTGATTAATTTTTAATATATTATACTCATTTTAAAGGGAGTTTTTAATATATATATATAGGGAGAGAGAGAGTAAAATATCTTTACATTTAAATTATATAATATTAAAAACATTTTTTATTATGAGATATTTTTAATTCATTGGAATAAAAATAAAAATGGGAACAAATGATGACGGATAGTTAGTGACGACATTAGGCGGCATACAACGTCAATTGATATTAATGAAAACAATATTGACAATCGATGATAGATAATGGCAATAGTGGAAGGAAGAAAGGTGACAGGGCTAACAATAGTGGCACTATAGAAAAATCGTTCATCACTGACGAATTTTTCGGTGGCTTTCCAGCGGAATATTTTTCAACGTATTAAGATGAAATATTTCCAATTGATTTTCAGGCAGATTTTCCAGTAGATTTCTTGCGACTTTCTAGCAAAATTTCTGGCATATTTAAAAATTTATGTAAAAACATATATTAATTAATTATTTCATAACTTATTTTAATTAATTATTAATTTAATAAATTATGATAATCAATTGTTAATTTAATAACTTATTTTAATGATTAATTAAAACAATAAATTTAATTAATTACTAATTTTAATATTTTATTTTAATGTATTCTTGCCATTGAAAACTTTTTGTCGAAATCCCCCGAAAATTTTTGATATCTGGCAGAAAGTCCACTGGTAATACGTGATTTTTTTTTAATGTGGTGAAGGTTGGAATCAGAAAGAGGCATATGGTGGGATTTGAAAATCATATAATTTAAGAGATTTCTAAATGAAGAAAAAATATATTTTTTAAAGTGTTTGAAATCCCTTAAAATTTTACTTTGTATTTCTTTTCCTTCAAAATGATAAAATAAAATAAAATTGCATAAAGTATATTAATGCAATAAAGAAAAAATTTGTGTGATACACTTGCCTTATTTATTGATTATTTATAAATTATACTCATCTTAAAATAATTTCAAGAATTTTAAAGCTCATATTGACCAAATTTTAGTTAGAATATTCTTACCTAATTACTACTCTAAAATAAATCTAATTACTTTGAGGTATATCTTAATACACAATTATTCATTATTTTTTTACCCAAATTATATTCATTATTAAATGATTTTTTTGTTGTATTGTTCTTATTTTCATATTAGTTATTTGGCTATATTATAATTGATAAAATATTTAATTTGCTTATTAAAAACTTAATAAATACATTTTAAAGCAATCTTCGAGCTAATT